CTAACAACCACTTTCCTTCTTGGCAGCAAGAATCAAATAAAATTGTCTTGTTTATTCAGTAATGGCAATCTTTCGGCCACTTATCAAATTTTAAGAAGGTGAACAAAGTACTTGTTATTTGTTAACGTAGAAGACTACGCATCTTTAAGTCCTGATATGTCATATGTATGGCAGTGGTAAAGGATTAAGTGGCTTTTGTATCCTTAAATTTTCTAATGACTAATTAATTAAAATTGTTCACATTTTCAATAATGGGGTGCCTTCAAGCGCGATATAATCTTTGATTTATTCTGTTGTTTTGGCTTATAGCATATAAATAATCATTACCATTGCGCACAGGTAATATCTCAAGCAAAACTGAGATGACATACTAAGAAAAATATTACAGGCGGTGACTGTCAGATGCAAATGATCTTGAAAAAGTCGTACAACAGAAATAAAAGGAAAACTGATTTTGACTGAGTGGTTTTAGAGGTTAAACGCCACGGGGCATTAACTGAAAGCTAGGGGTGAATTGGAGAGTAGAAGATTCATACTGAGGTCTCACGAGCAGAACATATGTGACCTAAATTGAAGTATTTTCTCTGCATTCTTTTGTTTCGTGAGATGTGAGGGATTTTATTAAGAAGTTGAAGCCTATCAAATTCATTGTCAAGAAGGTTGGCGTTAATGCTGCTGAAGTTATGTTGGCGTGATAAAAACTGCGCTACAGTCCTGGAATTTTTTTGATCTGTGTGTTTTCTCGATAACAATACCATAGTGATTTTTGCAGTTGATTTGATAAACATTGTTAGACTTTTCATCGAAGGAGCCGAAGGTTTTGGTTTTCAAGGAACTGAAAATCTGGATTTTGCTTATACAGTTTGAATGCACTAGAAAACCTCACTTGAAGGGGAACATTTCAAACGGTGTATGATGCGAAAATCGATTCACACGTCTTTTAGTAAACAGGCTTTCTTCATTTTGACTATGGCCCCCATTTGCAGCTGGAAACAAACGTTTATCATCTCTATACTGTTCTCTCCAAGTTCCTCCTTTGTGCCTGCATATTGTGTTAAAAATTAGACTTCTGATCTAAACCTGCGACCTCGTTAAATCTATTCTATATAAGCTGAAATGTTCAGTTAGCCCTAACCAATCTTCTGCTGTTTATAAAATTATTGTTGGATATTGAGATGGTTTGTATTGAGGTAGCGTATATATCCTTTGGAGTGCATGCAGAAAGGAACACCAGACTGCCGTTAGGAGGAATCGTATGAATATTCTGAGACGATGACATATTCTTTAGAATACGAATATAATTTCGATAGTAATGAAGGCAACAGCTTGTTTGACTGGATAGAACGGGCTTCAGTTCATGATTAAATTGTACATAAGAGAGCGATATGCAGCAACTACCCAGTTCATTTGGCATCTACTCTGTAAAAATATGAATCACGAGAAGGACATCTGTATGAATCTTCTCATTCTGATTTGGTCCTAGTTCTAAATCTCTGTGCCTCTTCCTTTATTCCACCAATTTTTTCTGTTGTACGTTTTTGAAATCTAACTTCTAGAATGTCAGTGTGTGCAACATTTCTGTGCTTTTTTATCTTAATTTCTGTAATACGATTGTAAGCTGCTTTGATGATGGTTTCTGTGCCGGCAGCCAAAACTGAATAAATGAAAAGAAACCTTTCGTAAAGCGTTTGTATTTAATCATTCAGCGGAATTAATTTCATAAAAGTGAAGGTTCACTGTTAGATCAAGATCATCAAAGAACTGATTTTTCCATTATAGAGAAAAGAATTAAGTAGTTTATGCAAATTGAATTAGTACGTACCAGTGCAACTAAAGGTAACCAGTCTGACTGTACGAAAGGGCGAACAGCGCTGCATATTTGAGTTATTGCACAACAGTTACAGAGCGTGCAAAAATACAAGATATTCTTTGATGCTTAAATCTGAAAACCAGTTTTGCTCATCTGCTTGGATTTTCAGGTTATAAACCATACAAAGTGACTCATTCTTCTGACTATTTCGACCGGCTGTACGAATTAGCCATCGAATTGATAAAACGTGGTCACGCATATGTATGTCATCAAAGCGCCGACGAGATGAAGGGCTTTAATCCAGCACCGTCTCCTTGGCGCGATCGCCCTATCGAAGAGTCACTAGCGTTGTTTGAGGTAGCGGATGGTTTGAGACATTATGACAATACGTTGTGATTCGTTGATTTCGTTCGCGCAGGACATGAAAAACGGCAAATTTGATGAAGGGTCCGCTACATTGCGCATGAAGATCACTTTAGAAGAAGGCAAAGTTGATCCGGTTGCGTATAGAATTAAGTACATGCCTCATAACCGAACCGGAAATAAATGGTAAGTTGAATGACTAAAATTTCTTGGAGGTGCTGTCCTATAATTAGAAACAACTTAGTTGAGCTGTTGATTTAATGGTTTGGAACGTCTTTATGCCCAAAGTCTTGCGCCCATAAGTTAATTTTTAAAAATGTATTAAATACCATGAGATTTGAGACTTTAACTTAACTTTTGGTTTACTTACGAAGTAGAAATTGAATATCCATAATAAATTTTAAGTTTAAATTGCTTCAATGTGAAAATTATTACGAGACATTTACTGAAACCCACTCCTAATAACCACACTATAGTCATCTCATTAATTCACAAGTTCTCTAACAAAATCTGACAGGAACTACAGAAATAAAAGTTTTCGAATCAACTAGGAAATGGCTGTTTAATTGGGATCGCATATCTTCTGGGAAACTTCTTCAGCCGAAGAGAACGAAAGAGATGAACATGGTTTATAGGGTCGAAATGCAGTGATTGACAAGATCTATTGGGGATAATTATGCGGAGATTTTAAAAAGGGGTTGGGAACTTCTAGTAGCTTTGCGGAATGAGAAAACATGACATTCTGGCATCGTCTCTCATTCTTTCTACTTGGAAAACGTTTGATGAATTACTTATGTGGTTAACGATAAGACAAATGTCCGACTATTAGTTGAAGAATCGATACACATGCGAATGCAGGAGCTCGTTTATTGTGAGTGACAGCTGGGGTATTATAAGCCAGAATATTTGGAAGAATAAATTGAACAGAGGAGGCTATCACTGAAGCGTTGCATGACTTTTTTCATAACATCGCCAGAATATGTTTAGGGAAGAGTAAGTACCTGCAAATGGAATTCTTTTCCGCAAATGTAGTGTTTTACTACGCTAATGCACAAAATATATTCAATCTTCTAACATCGTGTAGCGATATGTGACAGGAATAAGTAGTATTGTTTTAGGTGCATTTATCCGACGTATGACTACACGCATTGCCTTTGCGACTCGATTGAGAACATTACCCACTCTCTGTGTACCAAGGAGTTTCAGTCGAGGTGAATAGTTAAAACTATGATTTTCCTGATTGCATATGTTCTTGAATAATAGTAGAGTGTAGAATATTTCCATTCCTCTGTATCGCTGTTGCAAATTTCTTTGTTCTTTAAACTTGAACAGAAAGTCGACGACCGTGACGAACATATCAATCAGCTGTTTTTTAGACGACTGTCGTATTATTGGCTGTGCAATGCATTGGATTTGTACTGTCCTGTTCAATGGGAGTACGGTCGTCTGAACATGAATCATACCGTCGTATCGAAAAGGAAGATCCTCAAACTAATCCAGTCGAAGATAATCACGTAACGATGTGTTTTTATGAATGCTCCGCATTAAAGGTCTTTCTTTTTAGAGACTGGGACGATCCGAGACTATTTACACTTACCGCATTGCGACGACGTGGATTTCCTCCAGAGGCCATTAACAATTTCATAGCCAAAGTAAATGGTTATCTGATTATCAACTAGCTCAAAATTAGTTTTCGTCCCGAAACGGATTTAATTGCTGTTTTCTGCAGCTGTTGCTATCGTTCTAGTCGTTGAAACCAGCAGAATACTAGGGTTGCTTGAAATAACGATTCGCGTGCTTTGTCGTTTTCATTCCTTTCTTTTTTCATTTCCTGTTCGTTCGTCCGCTCGTTCATTTATTGGTTTTACAAGTTATATGTTCCTTTCAGGTTATGGGGATGGCTGTTTCATATAATTTTTTAGTAACCTCGTTCCTTCTTCAGTCAGACAGATTTCAGAAATCAGACTCCAAGGCCCCACGTTGTCACCTCCTTAATGTACTCAAGCAATTTTTATGTCGATTTGTCCATTCGTTGCCTACCACGTGACTTTGTGAGTAAAC